TGACTGCGCGTACGATCATTTGTTTCACTGCGGCAATGTTTCAGCAATTACACATGCTGGTCTAATAAGGCCTCAAAGGTCAGATGAATTTCGGATAGATAGTACGGAAGCTTATTGCGATCTTCAATATCATCGTTCGCTCGGCATCTTTCGATGCTGCATGGCGATGCGAAACTATGATGGTGGGGTGAAGTGTGTGGCAGACAAGCCCCCGGACAGCGTTCGCCACGACGAACGCTGTTTGAAGTCAATCGGAACCGTGTGGGCCCGGCGTCGGGTCACGAAAGCCCAACCCATCGTTCACACTGCACTCCGTGTACCCGGTCGGGAAAGTGGTAACAGTAGTATTTGTGTAAGCGGTGATTCGAAATAATGACATAGGAAAATTCAGCTGCAACAGCAGCGCCAGTAGTAAAGGTAGCGCTTCGTCCGTATTTTCGTTTCTTTTCGTGGGTTGGCGATTGTCTTGCGACCAATGAAATCTTTCAACCGTGCCGGTAAATAGCGCCATAAAAATGTCATAAATTTCGTTGAATTCTGGTATTCCCGTCAGAAACATAAATTTATCTAGGCAATATAGCATACTGTTGTTTCCACGCTAACAATGAGCTGAATGTAGTTCGTCTACAATGCCTTTCACACGTGTACTATTTATTATAACTGTATGGTTGACCTTCTGATCGGTTCAGGCTTTTGCCTCGTTTCTTAATTGTGCGTCGTCTCATCTGACGGTTGAAATCAAAAGCCGCGTGGACATGTTTCTCACAGTCACCAAATCACTGATCCCGCTACTGCTCATATGCTTGTTCAACCAACCCACTGTGCCCATACGTTGGCTGTAAGTGATACTTTTATTTATATACTGTCATTGATTATGCTGATCGCTCGTCGGTCGCTTATCTAATGCTCGTTGTTATTTCGTTTATGATAGTTGTTGCAATGCCTTAGTGCCAACTTTTCGCTGTGAAAGTAACCTTTACTGTGAGTGTAAAGTTTGTCGGTATGCAACGAGCAATGGTATGTAGCTTGAATGTTACAAAAACGGCACGAAAGCATACAATTCACAGTGGCTCAGCTGATTTTCCTACCGTAGGATTTTGCGTCGAAGTTGATTCCTGATCATGGAGGTAACTAGCAGTGACAAATACACAGATCGCAAAATTAACATTGCTGAAATTGTAATAATGATTCCAAAACAGGTGCTTTGCGTATCATTTGTTTCTATAGCACTGATTTCCATTGATTTTTGAGGGAATATGCGGGTTAGTTTCGATCATCGAAAACGGCTGTTTTTCGAACTTCGAAGCAGAGACGAATGTATGTCATTTGTAAATATCCGCAATCAGTTTTTATGGCATTTCGTACAATCTTCTATTTACAGCAGCTTCCTCTGATTCAATCGCTTATTCTGTTATTTACAAGAAAGGTTTTTTTGTGACCGCTGAACAGGTTTTACGTGTGAAAATCACTGTTACAAGTTTAATCTTCGCAGAAACGGTTTTTCTGCATTCTTATGGCTTTCCCTGTCAGAAATTTTTGGTGTGACGCATGTATAACTATACGAAGACCGTCGGTCGTAAGCGAAAACGGCAAAACAAACGAAATGCAAAAGCAACAGTTGCTGGAAATGGTCCTTGAATGACTGATTGCATTTGCTCCTCTAAGTAAAAATATTGCTTCATTTTACTAGCCTCAAAAAATTTACTCCCTCACTCGCTTTCCTTTCTTTCACGTCACATTTTTGAAATGTGCATTCACAGGAAGTAGAAGGTTGCTCACTTAGTCGATCGGCCTGACCAAACTAAACTGATCGCAAAACGCATTTCACGCGTGCACGTGCTCGAAGTCACGTTCACAGTCGAACGCGTTCCACGACGGTCGCTTCTACAGTCAAAACCTTTCACGTCTCGTTTCCTGCATTCTACCGTACGCGTTCCCGGAACATCGAATGTCCTTGGGTAGCGGACGTCATTGCATACATCTTTGACTGGACATTTGAAAAACTTTTCCCCTTACTACGGCGGTCCCACCGTTTGCCATATGCACCCGCACTGAGCCTGCATCCCGCACAACAGAAGCCATTTATGAGTGAAACGGAGTTTAATAATCGAAGTCAGCGTAAACTTTGTAAACTACATAATTTTCGGAACCATAAATTGAACTCTAACTTCTCTCAGATCCAGCTTGTGTTCGGCAAAGACCCTTTTACATCGGCAGTTCAATTTACTTGCTTGTTCTCTGCAATTTGCAGCCAGCTGACGTGCTTTGCCGACGCAAGAGAATACCCCGCAACTTTGTCAGCGAGTAATAGGAAATATTTTATTTTACAGAATTCTGACTTGTCAGGTGCCAAAGCTTGGGCTGCTTGTGCGGCTAAATTCATTAATTTATGGGTGTAAAAGAAGTGGGCTTCGTCAGCTTATGAACCGAGCTGAACTACTCATCATTAACATAAACAATGTTCGCCGCTGAAAGACGGCTTGGTTGTGGCATATAAAAATGTTTCTGTTCGTTTGACACAAATCATGGCCAAAGTCAGGCCAGTCGTAGGCTGTTAGTCATTTGTTCTTAAACGACGGGTCAGCTCAGGAAAACACTGCTTAATATCAGAAAATCAACATTTCATTGGAGCAAACGTTTGCATATCGTGTAGCGGTCAACGCTGATGGATAGTGCCCAGTGCGTTGTCCATTCATGGAACATTCTACAATGGATGAATTCTGTTATGTAATCTAAAATGGATGCATTATACAATGGAAACATTTAGTAGATTTGATTATGCGATGGGCGGTTTAGCCATTATCCTCATACACTAATACTAGTACGACGGCTTATTAGCGAAACGCAACGTAAATGACTGACGAAGAAGGGCTTAGCACGGGTATTTTGGTCTGTGGCTTGCAGTTATCCTTCAGGGTGTGTGTTCATGTATTTCTTTTCACGAGTTCGGTTTGGCTTATCTCGATATTATTACAGAAGCCGGAAGGTGAAACAGCACAAACAACGATCTGTGAGCACAAACCAAGACGTCGATACCTGACGATTCCCTAATTGCCTTTATTTTAGGTTACTTTAATAAATTGTCTTAGCCATGTCCAATTTGTGCCAATGAGTGTGTGAACCAAAAATTTAGTCTCTTGGTAGTAATTTATTGCTTTCGTAGGATGCAGAACCATTTCTTAATTAGCAATAAAGAATGACCCATATTCTCTCTCTTGCTTATGATGACTCTCAAATAACCCACTTTGACTGATCTGCTTTTAAACTGCAATTAGTCAGTGCCGTATGCTGCATGCTGGCTAAAGTAACACTCTGACTTATGTCATATTTAAGTAATTTTTAACTCTTGTGAATTTCTGTACTTATTGCCTTTCGTATCACATTGAACTTGAAAAGTTGATTTGATATCTGTATTTCTGAAATAAAAACTTTTAGAGCGATTGGTCACATGAAACAGTTTTGGAACGAGTCCCACCACTGCCCCAAAAACGGCGTCGAGAGGAAGAAATACGGTCTGATAGGCGCGCAGGTATTAGTAACATGATTTCAGTAGAGCAGCTCTGCTCCGTCTTTGTTATAGACTAAACTGTGTAAACGACATGCGGATTTAATGCCAATTATTATGCGCGCAGCTGCACAGACGGCTACCGTATGTCAGAACGAATTTTCTGACCGACGCTGGAACTGCTCGTCAATTCGTTTGGTTCCAAAATTGACTCCAGACCTGACAAAAGGTAAAACGCCATTCTGTTTGCTTCATCTCCGCAGTCATCGAGTAGATGGATCGGTGAGGTTAGTAACTGAATGGACTGGAAATCAACCAATAATCTTTACCAACTTTTCCAATACAGCAATTTGAGTCGGTCGTCGTTTATACTGTAGGTCGCAGTAGCGACGATGACAGCGGCCACCAAGAGTTGGCTTGTCGCATGATCTCACTCGGTTGCCAAGAAGCGAAAGCGAACGCACAATAGGGCGCTTGCATGGTATGGGCCTGATTCGGAGCCATTGCCAATCATTGTTGCTATACCGCAATAAAACGGGCTGCACTGAGTTTTGCCTAATTGGAAACTGATGCCTAAATGGATCGTAAATTTTCCACTTTCTTGGCTATAAGCGTTAACCAGATGAAAATCTTTATATGGCTGAAAATTTACGATTACTCCAAACATAGACCCATGCTTTTTTGGCCGAAATTGCCGAGGTCGTCGCACAAAACACGGCGGGTATTCGCGCAGCCATTTTTACCGCGTTGTTCGTTGTGGACGCAATAGTCATAATTGATTTTTGCACAGTAAATTAATTTTATGGACACTTTTTCTGCGTCCACGATGGTTCACGAATCACCGAACCTTCGTAATGGTAGTCACGAGGCGTCAAAAATCTGCGCCCATTGCTATTTTGTGTATAAATGTTAGCATTGTCATTCCTCGCCTGCCAAAGGTGCGTCGTAGCCAATGACAGCCATGAATTCGTTGTCTCCTTTTGCCTAGCGGTCTCTGATCATTTCCAATCAGCGTCGTTTACCATACTTTATTGTCCTACAGTTACTAAGCTGCCTCCTGTCTAATTAACCTTTTCAAATCCGTTCAGTTTCACTGATTGACGATGTAATTAGTCAGCGAATGCTGATCGGAGTACAACGCAGTCCGTGAGAATGTTATCTACATGATATTACACTTATTAATATATGAATTCCGCGATTGCCGGTCGCAAGCGCAGATGACAAAGAAGGAAGGTTGGGGTCCGAGGCGACATCTCTTGTAGAACTTACTTACCTGTCCCTCATACCATTGCCCATATCGAATGACATGCTGACTAGATTGTCGCTTGGGATACGAAGGTGAGCGCAGGATGTCCAGGGGGTGGGGGTAATGAGGTAGGCTGCGAAAAGTCAACGATTAGAATGTGCTTCTCTCCTTCTGGAAGCCGGGGGCGTAGCAGTATCCTACGGCTGTTGAAGATCTACGGATAGTCGACGAAGATGCCAAACACAAACCTAGCAGCTATTTGTTTTGAAAGAATGAAGCAGACAGCGCGATATCATCACAGCACGTCAAATAAAAGTTTAAGCGAACGACACTGAAGTGGGAGCTCAGAGTCAGAAACTGAAGCATCATTCACTTAGGGGTAAAGAGCTGGAGCCATTTGAATGACGCCGCAAGATATGAACTCGACATAGTCAGACTCTCGTCAACAAAACGCTAGGGCTCCAGAATTCTGAACCTCTGCAGGTGGAAGTACTTCTATTCGTTTCGACATCACAGTCCTCACTTAGGACACGGTGTTCTGGAAGAACCCAATCTGGCTGGTAGAATCATTGAATGGAAGCCTGTCAACGGAACGGTGGCAATCCTCAGACTGAAGTCGCAACACGCTAAAGCGTTAACCTTGGTACAGGTCTATCAACCCAATTTGAAAGGAGAATATGAGACCTTCCTTGAGGAAGTGCAGTGTGCTCTGTCCGAAGTGCCGAATACAGAGTCCTTCATACTCATGGACGATTTTAATGTGCTGTCGAAACTGACACTGAAAAGTGGAAAGGTGTGATCAGGAGGAACGGACCAAGCGACCTCAACAATAACCGTAGGAAGTTGCGGTTTTGTGCAAACAACGGAAAGTCCGTTATGAACACTTTCTTCAAGCATCGAAGAACGCATTAGTATACCTAGTACACAGATGCTTGTGCACGGAAATCGATGACGATTTGATTATTGTAGCATCTGACTTACGACGCTCTGCACTAAGAGAGGTCCACAGATTTCAACTGACTGATTGTCACCGTGTTGTTGGCAAGCCACCTTGTAAGAGATGAGGCACCATGCGAAGATCTGGCGCAAAAGAAACCAGGAAATCAAATGTGAAAATTATTTTTTGCGGATACGAGGGCAAAATTTACAAACAACATGGCACGATGGCTTGAATAGATCCCAGGGAAGATCGCTGATATGGGAACCGAGTAGAGGCTCCTTAATATCGACTTACCCTAGGCTGCCGTTTTATGCTGTGAGTCAAAACTGGTTGGCTTGCGGTGTTGGAGTCGGAAACGAACTTTCTGGTGGACACGAGAGGTTCAAATGGATATCAGTTAGAAGATGACTTGTAGGCAAGGAGACTTCCATGACGGAAGCGATAACAGTAGTCAAAACGAACGTTGATTTCTGGGAAAAGTACAGTGTGATGCTGGATTCGAATTTCTGGATGGTAAGAGAAGAATTAGAGATGTTGTGGCAGATTATCCTTCGCCTCAAAGATGAAAGCAAGGCTAGGTCCTGAAGGACAAGAGTGAACGATCTCTAATCAACGATGAAGACACACTTCTGCAATGAAAAGAGTGCTATGAGAAACTCCTTAACCTTGAAATACCTCAGGAAGATTCGTCTGAATAACAGGAGGCTACGGTTATTATTCTTTCAGTAGGTGAATTAACCAAAGCTGCGAAAAGCTTAAAAAGTGGCAAGGCTGTTTTAATCGATGAAATATGCTCTGGAATGCTTAAAAGATAGACAAAGAAGTGAAGTTGTGCTAACACGTGTTTGTGGAACCGCAACGTTTATGGAAAAGACACAATTGACTAAATAACTGGGGTTATGGTATCCCTGTTCAAGAAGGCAGTTCATAGGGAGTGCCACTCTTCGATGCATCAGCTTATTGAGCCTTTAATTGCCGCATTACCGTATTGAACCCACCGGGATAATTTGAGCAAAGGTGTTAGAAAAGAGGTTCTGCGGAATGAATCTAAAATAGAAGAAGAGCAGTGTGGTTTCAGGTGATACCAAAGCACCTCTGATGAGAAATTCGCCTTACATAAGATTGTTGAAAAATAGTGGGAGTTCCAGCATCCGGTTTACATGTGCTTAATGGACCTGGAGAAAGCCCATGACCAGAATCCGCGCAGAAATCGGAGTGCCTCCAAACATGTGGGAGCGATTGTCAGTTGTTATGAGTCATCCAGTCAGTATACGTTGATAACAGCTGCTGCATTGTAGTAAATGGCGTTAAGTCGAAACCTTTGTTGAAATTGGTCTGCGTAGAGACTGCGCCCTGTCCTTTATCCTGTTTGTGTTGTTCATGGATAGAATAGTCAGGAGTTGCCAGGGCGATGAGGGTATCGGTGTAGGAGATGTGAAGTCGAGAAGGTTGCTGTTTCCAGACGACCTTGTTTTATTAGCATCTTCTGAAACTGATCTTCAGTGCTCCTTAGAAAGGTTCGCAGCCGAGTACGACGTGCATGTGAACGCATTTAAAATGAAAAGCCTAGTGCTTTCTCGTTCTCCTGCCTGTTGCTGTTTCAGGTAAATGACAAGTAGTGGAACGGGTGTAGTTCACATATTTCGAGGCAGTGTTTGTTTGAACTGCTATGGGAGAGGAGATCAACCAGCGAATTGGAATGGCTATGCTCTGCGTGAGCTGGCTTGAACCGTTGTGACTACAGCGGAGCTGTCTATGTTTAATTCCATCTTCTCCCCAATGACCACCTACGGTCATAAGTGAAAAAGTTTCTATCCCGAGTGCAAGCGGCTGAAATAATATTATGAGGCGAATCATTGGGCTCACACCTTTCGACATGGTATGAAGCACGAAATTTTAATGCAGGGTTCGTGTGCAGTCGGTGCCTGCGCAGATGGAGAAGTGACAGATGCAACGTTTCGCGTGCTTTCAGGAAGGAAGGCGAAAAAGTTGCTACTTTCTCAATCGAGCCGCCGTAGACTCCATACACAGCTTAGAATGTCTTGGAGCAAATGTATGGAAAGGTTTAGCTTCAGATTTGCTGTATCATATACCGAAGCTCAAACGCTAATGCATGTTCAAGAATGTTGGAGATACTGTTTGATGTGTCTGCCTCTGCAAACTGAAAGGAAAGCGGTCACCGAAACTGAGTGATTGACTTATTAACATATTATAGTGTCTCTCCACGCCTGTTGCTCTTCGTTGTTGGAAAGGTTTCGAAAGTTGTCTTAAAAGCTGAGCGGCCGGTGCGATAAACAGCGTTTCCGGCTTCCTAACTCTGTCCTATATTTCGACTCAATTCTTAGGTTCACTTTTTCTGTAGATTTAGGTGTCAGACAGATGTAAAACTGTTAAGCAAGAGGTATGTTCATAAGCGAGGTCTGCCAACCTAAAGTGCGATAATGATCAGAAGATCAGTGTATCGTATATAAAAGAATTTTGCGACACTGATGAACCTACAAATGGAATGCGTGGAACGAGATTGAGGATGTTCAATAATTAATTCGTCTAAAAGAATTGTCAAGTAATGACCACGTTGCAGGAAGAGAAGAGAAATGCTTTACACCAAGATTCTAAATCTTGAATTAACTTTAGAGAATAAGAAAGTATTTTACCTCCATAATAGCGTGAAAAACTTAGTTAATTTAGTATGAGCCATAGCCATCCTGTAGTTCGTTGTAGAGCATGACAGAGTTAGAACTGCAATCGCACAAGGGACTGATCGAACTCCTATCGATGAGAGTAAGTTTCGCTTTGAGAAGCCTGCTGCAAGGAAGCTAACTCGCTTCAAATATCGACTCCTTTCTTCTGCTTGCCACCCTGGCTACACGAAATGTGTGCCGTTGCAAAAACGAATGACAGATTTATGGTCCAACATCCAACAATGGTGCGCTGGTCGGTGTTTGCTGGAGGGCATTTGTCAGGTTCTCTACACAAAGCGCCCACCAACAAGTGTTCATAAATTACTTTTCCTTTACGTTTCGGTGACCAACGTGGGCCCATCGTCGACGTCTCGTTGTCCAGGTCAACCACCGGCTTGGCGACGGCGACGGCGACGTCGTTTATACGGTTGTACGTGTATGTTTCATTAGTTTATGATTTCCGCCAACGATGAATCGCCGCGTGGCCAAATGGTGGGTGGCTCTTTGTGGAACGGCGCTTCTGCGGGCCAGTGATTCACGACAACCACGGGCTGTGGCAATAAAAGGTTTCCGTCTTTCACGGAACTTGTGGCCACCCACAG